TTTGAAACCTAGTGGACTTTTACACGTCTTGCTTTTAGAGTGTTCTTTGTTGGTGGAGTAACAGTGGCCTTGAATTTCCTCCATTTGTACACAATCTGTCTGACTGTAGATTTGTGGAGTCCAAACTCTTTAGAGATAGTTTTGTAACCTTTTCCAGTCTGATGAGCAACAACAACTCTTTTTCTTTTTAGTTCCTCAGAAATCTCCTTTGTTCGTGCCATGATTCACTTCCACAAACATGATCAGACTTTGATAGATCCCTGTTCTTTAAATAAAACCAGGCACACACTGACACCTGATAGTCATACCATTGATTTAAAAACACCTCTGAACAGATGGACTTCAAATTAACTGCTAATCCTAGAGATTCACATAGTTTTGCCACTCACTGATATGTAATATTGGATCATTTTCCATATAAATAAATGACAAAGTATATATTTTTGTCTCATTTGATTGATTGGATTCTCTTTGTGAAAATCTGATTAGCTTTTGGGATTATTTTCAGTCAGTATTTTTACACATATGTTCCTGTTCACACATGCCACTCTGTGTTTGTTTTCCAGGCGCAGGTGCAGATCGCTCGTGACAATGCCGTGACATCACAACAGCAGTCAGTGAGTGGACGGAGGATACAAAAGGAAGTGTGCTCAGGCACAGAGGTGGACAGAAATGGAAGCAACCCCTTTTCAGAAAAGGACTCTGGGATACTGGATGTGGAGGATGAAGAGGAAAATGAGGTGAGAGAGGAAAGATTAATCTCTGCAGTCACAATAAAACCATTAAGCATTTCAACTGATTTTAAGCCAGTCAAGTTTTTAGTCTATTTTTGTGCACAGGTTATGAAACCAGAAAAATAAAATTTGTTTAAATGTGTCTTTTTGGGTGTCATTCTCTTTTTATTTCTGTCTCAGTTCTTCATAGAGATGGGAATCATAAGGAATGTAATGATTCTTGTTCTGATTCCTCTTAGTGAGGAGTTTTTAGTACTTTTTGAGAATTTTTTTTATATACCAAATAGGGATGCACCAATCATATGATATTTAGGGATGCACCGATACCACTTTTTCATATGTTCCTGTTCACACATGCCACTCTGTGTTTGTTTTCCAGGCGCAGGTGCAGATCGCTCGTGACAATGCCGTGACATCACAACAGCAGTCAGTGAGTGGACGGAGGATACAAAAGGAAGTGTGCTCAGGCACAGAGGTGGACAGAAATGGAAGCAACCCCTTTTCAGAAAAGGACTCTGGGATACTGGATGTGGAGGATGAAGAGGAAAATGAGGTGAGAGAGGAAAGATTAATCTCTGCAGTCACAATAAAACCATTAAGCATTTCAACTGATTTTAAGCCAGTCAAGTTTTTAGTCTATTTTTGTGCACAGGTTATGAAACCAGAAAAATAAAATTTGTTTAAATGTGTCTTTTTGGGTGTCATTCTCTTTTTATTTCTGTCTCAGTTCTTCATAGAGATGGGAATCATAAGGAATGTAATGATTCTTGTTCTGATTCCTCTTAGTGAGGAGTTTTTAGTGCTTTTTGAGAATTTTTTTTATATACCAAATAGGGATGCACCAATCTGATTCCGATATCGATTGCCATTTTTTAATATCTGCCTTTAGTGTGTCTCGTCTCTGTGTAACACTCTGTTTGTAGACTTTCTAATATTTCCACACAAATAACACTTTGGGAAATGATTGCAATGCATGTTGTGCGCAAGTCCAAATCCGTGATCGGCCGAAATAAACTAAAAAACTAGCCAGTTGCTAATCACTTGTTTGGAGCAAAAACTGTCCAGTTCTGATTGATGGCAGGATGACGGTGCATTTCTAATACCAACACTCATAACATGTTTCTTTATCTACATGCTGTCAAATGAACAACTGTCCTTAAGTACACAATAATGGTTCCTGGTTATTTTTTATTTAAATGTGAATGAATCACTCAGCAAGTACGTCAGATTTATTCAGCTCTGTCTGATTCATCAGTCGTCTTCTGAAGAATCGACTTAGATCTGCAAGACACTATCACAGTATTTTATTACAGTGTTCCATCCACGTTAGCCAAGTCATGAAAATCATTCAGTTTTTTTTTTTTTAAATGGAACCGTTTCTGAATATTGATGAATACCCAATAGTCCCTGTGTCTCTGTTTCTGTCTATTTCTAGCAGTTCCTTTCTCCTCCTTTACTCTAATATCCCCATGGACTTGCTGTTGGGCTGCCTGCCCAGTCCAGGATCCCCTCCCTTTCTTAATGGAGCGTCAGCTCTGCAGTTGTTTAGTGTCATTAGGGCTGCCCTGCTCCTCTGAGGCGGCAATGTGAGACGTGTGGAGCATGCAAGACGTGCTCCCCAGCTGTGGCTGCCGGCATCGGCACAGAGTGAAAGGATGATTCCCGGTCTCGCTTAGCTCCTGAGTAGGCCTGTCGCAATAATCAATATATCGACTTATCGCGCAATATATGTACATGACCTCAATAATTTTTGGCGACGCAATATATCGCCCATTATATTTACTTTTACTAATTAATGTCACTGTGTTTTGTACATTCTACTTGCACCTGTGTCTTTTTCAGCTTCTCGTACAAAACGTGGTGTAGTCATGAGGTGCTAGTTCAAATTTAAAAAATGCTTCTACAAAAAAAGTTTCATCTGCAGATATGGCCTTGTTTAGGGATCTGTGCCTTTGTGCATACGGACATCTGACTGCTAAGTATAGACCTTCTTTCATTATTATGCTGTTACATTATGATTATAGATTCAGTGGCATAAAATGGACTTTAAAATGACAATAATATCGCTTATCGCAATTACTTCTGGGGCAATATATCGCACAACAAAAAGTTGTTATCGTGACAGGCCTACTCCTGAGAGACAAATTAAAGTGACGCAGTCAAGACACTCTCAGTCGGTGTTCATTGTTTAGTTTATAATGAGTTTATTTTGACGTGCTCAGATAAGCGTTGTTTGTGTTGTGTGGCTTCTTCTCTTGTTTGACATGGTGTTTTCATTTGGTCAAACCAAAGCAACACAAGATTGGCACTTGTTGTGTTTGTACCAAAGCACTGGTGATGGACTTTTGTTTTCTGTTTGCATTGTTACGTTAAGCAGACACTTTCGTACCAAAGCAGCGAAGAAAAATTTTGCTGAGTAAATAATTAGTTTGTTGACTAATGTTGGCATCTTTACCTATCACCTTACTTACCTCATTTCATGATGTAGCAACAGTGTTTACTAACTGAATACCATTTTGAAATCTGTTTGATCAGCTCTCAAGATTTTGATGAGTTCCACAAAAAGTTGAAAACCTTACCTTTAAGTGACCCTGGTAAGGTTAACGCTTTTTGCCCTCTCGTTTGACCTTTTCCCCCTTCCCTTCCCTCCATACTTCAATCAGCCCGTGCGTCATCATGTTTTCCTCTTCTGGCTCCTGCTTGTGCCAGCCTTTAATCTGCTCGAATCTCTGCGCTCAGGGGCTTCCTGAGAAATGGGTTGTATCTAGAGATGCAGATCGGTGCCCGTTTAATGACCCCATGCCACTTGAACGATGTCCCCTTGCGCCCCTTTGTCCTGTCTGTAAATTGTTTCTAGGGGAGCATGTTAATGTGAACATGCCGTCCCTGAACCGGACAGACATTTCCAGCGCTGTCCCAGTGGTGCATCAAGACTGAATAGTTTTTTCCACATTCTCTCTGGGTTATTGTTGGTGGTGCCACAACATAGTTGGTTTTGTATGTCCCTGGTTGCCATTTTGTGGGCACCAGATCAAAGCTGGCATTGTTTAGTTGTCCATTTGTTTGGCTTACTTTTAGAAAAAGAGTCTTTCCTTACTGGCAAGTTCAAGGGTGGCTCAGGTCAAAGGGACGTAAAGAGAAGGGAAACTTCTTTTGTGACCAGTTAAATCTGGTAAAAACTATTATGCGCTGCATTCATTTTCATGACATCAAGCATCAAAATAGTTTCTAGTTGAAAAGTAAGTTTTAATATTGTTCTTAGTGATTTCCAGCTTTAGTGCTGCTCATACAGGTGATGTGTCTCTCATTGACTCGTACTGTATTGCAGATTCCTGGTGCGCAGGACTTGGTGGACTTCTCTCCTGTGTATCGCTGTTTACACATCTACACTGTATTGGTGAGTATGTCCTGTTTGCTATCTATTTTATTTCAGGTTTGACTTGTCTGATCAGAATATGATCTCTGTATTGGCCCTCACGCTAATAACTATTACCTGCACTTTGTTCCCCAAGGCCTCTCGTGAGAGAAAGATTTTCTCTTTCTCAGAGAGAAAATGTCTTGTGTGTTTTCAAAATATGTTCATGAAAATGTGAGTTTGTGAGCGAATGTGTATTTTTATTGTGATAAATATATCAGAAAACAGTAATATTTCACAATATTACTGTTTATACTGTATTTTGATCAAATAAGTGCAACCTTGGTGAGCATTTAAAAAAAAAAAAAGACATAAAAAAAATCTTACTGATCCCAGACTTTTGAACAGTAGTGTATGTGTAAATCATTTTGATTTAATGTATGGTTGCATCATTAAGTGAAAAAATTCAAATTGCCCTAGCCAAAACTAACTTAATTTGAAGTCAAAAGGATCACATGCACTTATGTAGTTCTTGCTGAACATGGCAAAGAATTATTTCATTATGATTTTTGTCTTTTTGTTTTTTAAATTGCCTTTATTTGGATATTAGATGTTTTTCATATTATTTCAAATTATAAAATTGCAATATTTGACAAAATCGCTTTATGATTTTTTTTTTTTGGTCCAAACCATGCAGCCCTAAATTGATTTGAATCGCTTCATGATAAGTACATGTGTTAATCAATGCTGGCTGGTCATTTTGATTCTAAGCAGCTAGCACCAATTGTTTGTCGATGACTTTGCTGAAATTTGCCAGTGGAAACTGCCCCGTAGTTTACCACCAGCATGTTCGCCACCCAAAAGTACCCTGGAATGTTTCCTGCACAAACAAATATTGCATTTGACGCAGCCACAAGTAATGAAAAACATTTCTTAAATGCATCACTGTTCATTTATTACCTATTAACTTGCTAGACATGCAGCTATTTAAACTGTTTGCTTTTGTAGTATGCCTCAAAATATGACCAAGAATTGGGTGTAGGTCTACGTGCTTGGGTGGATACGTCTGTTTGTTTGTTTTTTTTAAACGTGAGTACACACATGTTTGTTTTCGGAGTGTACGTGCTGACTGCTCCTCATGAAGACTCAAATTGTTTGAGTTGGTGGAATATCACTTTTATGATCCTCTGGCCTGTAAATTTCAAGTGTGTGCAGACGGACTGTCATTACTACAATAGCCTTTGTAATAGAAACCTGTGAGAATGGCATGCTGGGGCAGTTCTGGAGACCAGGTGTAGGAGCCGTCTGAGGACGCAAAGGAAAGTGAGGAAAAGTAATGGACATGAGTTGTTTGAAAGTGACCAGGCAGGGAGTCATAGAGGGGACACATACCAACACTTTTGAAGTTATAGGAAAGAAAGCAAACTAATGAGAAAAGAGCCCCGATAAGCGAGTTGATGCGTTTCTTTTTAAGAAGGAATGTTCGAGTTTTTGTGTTTCCTTTCCCTGGTGACCCTTGAGTCACCTCAGACCCTGGGAAATCACACTGCTTGCTTATACAAAAACAATCAGAATTGCACTTTATATGTCCCCGAAGGACTTTTTTGTTTAAACGGTGAGCACACACTCATGAACGCCCGTGTTTGAATGCACATATGGCAGATACTTCCCATTCACTGTATATTCACTGTCCTGAACGCCCCCACAGGAAGGAAGTTGTTGAGGCTGTTGTATGTTTATATGGCGATCGGCCATAGTGTGACATCACTCCTGATAATTTAAACAAACTTCAAGTAAACACGGCTACTTGTTACTGTAAAGAGTGAGAGGGGCAGAGAGACACTCATGGAAGGGAGGGAAATTAGTCAAATGGCCAAGTGCAAATAGTTGGAAGCTTCGTTGAAGTTTCGTGGTGTTCATATAACAGATGATTTCTCATGGAACAAGAACATCACTTCCTTGGTAAAGAAAGCCCAATAATGACTACGCTTTCTGAGAAGACTTAAAAAAGCAGCCATGAGTAACATCATCATGATCAACTTTTTTAGATGTGTAGTGGAGAGCATCCTGACCAATAACATCATAGTCTGGTTGGGCAGTTGTTCGGCCGCTGACAGGGGGTCCTACAGAGGGTGGTAAAGGCTGCTCAGAACATCATTGCATCCAGTCTCCCATCTATGGAGGACATTTACAAGGTTGTAAAAAAAAAACTGTTCTGCCTACTCCCATCTGGAAGAAGACTCTGAAGTGTTCGAGCACGAACTACAAGACTGAGAAACAGTTTCTTTCCTCAGGTGATCAGGTTACTTGACAGCTGTGGTTGACCACTGCCCTCATCTTTTATCTCTTGTTTCTTGTGGGCCCAACAATGGACTCTGAATGCCATGTTAACTCTCCCTCCAAACATACTTTGCACTACTCTACTTTAAGGACTACTATTTAATGTTTATTATCGCACTCTATGGTTTATCTCATTGCAACATTTGCAGACTCATTATTCTAGTTTAATTTATGACATAACGCTGCATAGATTTGTCTATTGCACTGTGCGGTCATTATTGTTGCTATTGCTAGATGTGTCCTTATTTCTTGCATTATGATGCTATCAGAGATACCGTGTTTTGTTTCTCCCTGTGGGAGAAATGACAATAAACAATGAACTTGAAATACAGAAATTGTTCATGACCTTGGTTCTGTACATGTACAATGGCCCTTTTTTTTTGGGTCTGCTCTGACTTCTGAGCTGGCTGCACTCCAGATGGCCCGAGCTGGGAATCGGCAGGAGACGCTCAGGGGGTTCACCTGGGTTTCCTTCATACCAGAGGGTTGTGACCCGGCCACGGTGTCCCTGGCCTTTTTTTGTACATGTGTGTATGTGTGTGAGACAGTACACTGGAACACAGTGGAACTGTAAGTGTGGAGCTGCTGCGGAGGGACAGGAAGTTGGACTCCGGTTTTAAAGTCAAGCCGAGGGATGGAAAGAATAAGGACTGAGAAAAAGAACAGGACAAGGAAGAGGTCAGAGTGTCAGTTAGAGGGTACAGCCTGTTCTTTGGTCAAGTTTGGCTAGAAAAAAATTAAATTGAAGACAATGTGTTTTAAGTTTTTCTTCACACTGCCGTCAAACACTTGACATTTTTATGAATCTGACGATAATAAAGTTCAAACGGACAGAGGAAAAACATTATCCCTCTGGGGTGGTGGAATTAAAAGAGAACAGCAGATTGCAATAGAATAGAAAACAGAGAAAAGAGGAAGCACGACTTGTTGAAAGTGTGACCTCTCTGTCTCGAGGTCTTGCACTTACCATAAATGCTTATTGTTTTTGCATTGCCAGAAAACAACTAAACTGAAATGGCATTTTCCTTTTAAACCAGTCTGACCTCAAGTGTAGCCGCTGAGATTTAATGGCGCTACTGTGTCAGAGATCAGAGGATGATGGAGATCTCAGAGGGGTCACAGTTTGTTCTCTTCTGTTGGCTGTCCATATCTTACTTTTTATTTTTGTTTTTTGTCACATAGTCCATTTTGGACTTTTTATTCGAATGTATTGGTGGTGGATTTGCACAGCATTTGTACCCTCCTGTACCCTCTTCCAGCTCAAACTCCTCCTCTTTACTTCTGATGGAACGTAAGGTCTGAACAGCGTCTTAGTTCTCTGACAGTTCTGGTCTGTGTTCTGATCAGTGTAAACACAGGCTGGTTGTGATGGGCCAGTTACAGCAGGAAGCCCTGGAGAAGGAGATCCACAGAACAGGCCTCCATCCTACTTCTCCGACCCAGAGAACCACACCCAAAATTCAGCTGTCCAACACAGCTATATCCGTCACTTTCTTTATTAGTGGAGCTCTGGAGATCTGAGGCACTAGACCTTTGTGGAGGGAAGTTCAGCTGAACTTTAGTGTGGATCTTTATTTGATAGTCGATGTTGGCACTGTTCTCCTGACTGTTTAGGTTAAGGAACATCTATAAGAGATGGAGCGTTTGGACACGATTAACTGGGTTTAGACTGCAGTTGGTAGACCTGCTCTTCTCGGTCTTAGTAACCGCAGAAGAGCTTGTATAGCCAACATGATGGACACACTCCGTTAAATTCCCTTCGCACATAACATGGCATTCTTCTTGAACATCCTTTTTTCCTTCTCCAGAATTTATTTTTAAGGATTCTGAGGTAATACACATCCTACTCCAAAGAGTGTGTGTCAATGACCGTATATTGTGCAGGAGTCATTTTGCCCCACTTTGGACTGTTCGGTTTTGGGGAAGCTACTTTAAATTATGAGCAGCATCAATTTTGACAAGTTGCAGCTTCAAAGTAGAGTGGTTATGAATTATTGAATCCATTTTTTTTATAAGTTGATGAATGAACCAACTGGCTAAAATGAATCAGAATTCCTAGAACTTTTTGTGAGAGGAAAATGCAGCATTTTTTGTTGAGCAAGTTACTTACTTTCTTATATTTTGTTATGTTCCTCACTGAATTGTTTCGCCTTCAGCCATTCATTGTGCTGTGAAGGCCTCTGTGGTCAAAGCAGAATATCTGTTCGATCCCTGCTGTTATTAAAGGTTTAAGGTTGTTCTGAAGTCATTCAAAATGTATATAATGCTTTTCCAATTCTGTGTCTGCTTTTTTTCTCTTTCAATTCTTATTTCTCAAACCTTATTCCTCCCCACACATCATTACATTTGGGTGGTCTTGGTTAACTATTTGGGTTTGGTAACCAAATGATTACTAGTTTAAATGCTTGAGAGACTCTGTATTACTATTGTGCCCTTAGTGAGGACTCTGGCATAATAAGTATGCTGTACATCGAAGCATCAGAAATGACAATGTTGCAATAGACTACAGCTCTATTCAAAAACCTAGTGAGCTTCCTTCATATACAGCATTTTAGTCATCTTAAGCTCACCGATATGAAAGCTGATGCAAAGCTTTGACAGATGCATTATAATTCATTTCATGTATCCTGTATTAGGATTTAATTAATGCAAAAAGTCATTCAAGATGGCAGACAAAGTTAAAGTTTTCTATTATGAATACTCATTTTGTTCAGTGGCTATAAAAATATTTAAATACATTTAAAAGTATTTTAAAAATCGTTACATCTAATTAAAAATATGATATTATAAAGTAAAAATATTCCATAAAATGTTTAGTAAAAAACTGGCAGCTGTGGTTGCTGAAAATTCACTGTAATACTCTGGTGTTATGAAATGGCATATAATTACAAAAAAAAAACATAAATTCGGCTATATTTTAGTGTGTCACACAGTGTTCCAACTACCTATATAGGCTGCGGACCAGCAAAAGGCTCACTAGATCTGAAACAGAGCTTGTATCTCACTTTTGTTATTTATAAACTGGTTCTGTGTGGTCAAGTCTTGTCCTGTTTTACTATCTTTGTTTAAGAGGTACAGTCACCCGCTCTGGCTAGATAAATTCAGAGAGGCCCTTGACCGGAGGTAGTGATAAGTCCTACCATGCTGACGCTGTTTTCTGTCTTTATCTCTGTCACTCTGTGCGTTACTGTTTTGTTTCTGCGTTCTCTGTTCTGAGGGGTGTGTGTGTGTATGTTTTGGTGTCATGCCCTTGTAGACTTTGATAGCAGTCTGTGTGAGGTGGACAGGAACTGCACTCTGGGACTCTGGAAAAAGGATCAAGTCTTTAAGTGGTGAATGAGGGCCTTTGTTTTTAGACTGCAAGCCTCTGCTGCGCTGTATTCTGAATCGTACTATGAGATTAGGAGAGAGAGTACCTGATATGCTCTTATTTGAAGTTTAGCATGAGAATTTGTTTTCCTCTGTTAACTGCTTCTCTCAGTCATCATCCTCCCCTCTTATGACCTCCAGTCATCTTAAGATTTTTATTTTTTATTTTTATATTTTGGTGTAATTACAAGTCTTAAATGACTGGTACTCAGTGGTCACAGAGCTGTTCACTCAAAATGATTCACGCCTTTTAGTAAATAGCCTTATTCCCACTCAGGTGTTTAGAATGTGTATCTGGTTTACCCAGGGTGCCCGGGACACATTTGAGAACTACTACAGGAAGCAGCGGCGGAAACAGGCCCGACTTGTGCTGCAGCCTCACTCTAGCATGGTACGCCCTCACACTGCCTGAGCACATGCTTTGTCTGACTGTCTGTTTTACACCCTTCAATCATATTCACTGCACCACCCCCAATCACTAACATCACCTCACATAAACTATCAGGAACTATGAGGTAAGCCATTATCATTGAATAATGTACAAGTTTATGCTTATTTGAGATGGATACTTACCAGGAACTTGACATGTATAGTTAATTTAGGGCCTGAAAATTCATATGTGGACTTTTAGTGTGGTGGTGTTCATATATAATTTTCATTGGCTTGAACAACGATTGAAAAAGGATGTGGAAACATCGTTATAGTTAACATATAGCTCAGTTGTTGAACACTTAAGTTTTCCTTCTAGCAGAGCTGAGTTGTACATATTTTCCCCAATTTCATTCTAGTTTCTGTTTTTTTATATCTGTGCACTTAATGTCATTACAAAATACTTAATGTATACAGTACCATTTAAAAGTTTGAGGTTAGTAGCATTTTTTTCATACTACAGAATCATACTTGTATTCAGCAAGGAATTAATAAAATTATCAAAAGTGACAGTAAAGATAATTTACAATGTTACAGAAGTCTTCTATTTAAAATTGTTTCCACTAGTATATTAAGCGGCACGACTGTTTTCTACATTGAAAATAATAAGAAATTACATTTTACTATGAATTAAAATAGAAAAAAGTTATTTCAAGGTTGTAATAAAATTTAACAATATTACTGTTTTAAACTGTATTATTGACTGATTTCTTTCAAAAATATTAAACAATTTTACAGTCCTAAACTTTTGACCTGTAGTGTATGCTAACGTGTTGAAGACATTTGCAGAATGTCATTGTACAGGTATGTTGTTATTTGGTCAGTACAGACACACATTTTTAAATGTTTTAAGGTAATCTAGTTTATTCCATGAGTAATAAAAACTTTAAAAAAGAGCTGTAATATTGGACTGCTCAGTTAACTGATGTTCATAAAATCTTCTTTCTCTTTCCTGTGGTCTCCAGCATGAAACGTTAGAGGGGTACAGGCACTACTTCAATCAAATTGTCGGGTGAGTGCAGTGCACATTTTGTTTTGAATGGCCAAATTAACTGAAAATCAATTATACGTGCTTACAATGTTAATTTTTAATATAGAAGAGAATTAAAACAGCCAAAGCCTTTTTTGGCTCAGCGTTCGACCCTCCCTTTAGCCAAACGGTCCCCTTCCTCTGGCCCTTCCTGATTCTCCATCCCAGTGCTGCTGAAAAACACTCTTAGTTTTAGAATTTATGGTTCTGGGGATGTGGAGTGGCAGATTGGTGTTATTCTGAATGGGAATATCGGGAAGGCTAGTGTCTGGTACGGAGGCTTTTACAAACATCTTAAGTGGCACAAAAAAGGCTTAGGGCACTCACACAGTGGGATGTCTGGGATTTCTCTAAAAATGTTGCTGGGATGTTCGATGACTCTGATGCCTTTGTGTGCTGGAAAGCCTCATTGTGCCCATTTGGGATATTATTGATGTGGTTTAATGCTTTCCTATGATGTTATAATGTACTAACTGTTTGTCTTTCATACACTTTCCAACATTCTTTAAGTTGTTCCTGTATTTCCCTGTATGTGTCCTGTAGTTTTTTTGTAGTGGAGGACCACATCTTGCACACCACACAGGGCCTGGTTAACAGGGCTTACGTGGAAGAATTGTGGGAGCTGGCCCTTTCAAAGACCATTGCAGCCTTGCGTACGCATTCAGTATGTTTGCACACTACACACCTAACACACACTGAACAAGACAAGCAGTAGAGCTGTTCAAGCAGACATTATTTTTATGGCCAGCCTGGACGGCTAATGGCTTCACTCTGGATTTTCTGATGGATTTTTAGGATAGTGGTTTTCTAGTACAATAAGGTGTCTGGCTACCTTTACTTGAAGATATTTTCACATTTTGTTATTTTATGTCATATTTACAACATACACTACCATAATACAGTAACACAGTTAACTACTAAAGTAGTTAACTGTTAAATAATGAACCTTATTGTAAAGTGTTACCATAATTATTTTAAAAAAAAATTGACCGACTCCGAATTTTTGAACATTAGTGTAAATTACACACAGATGTACCTCACATGTGAAGTTTGAAACAGTTGTCTGATTTAAAAATGTAAGTTGCAAGTTCCTGCAAAAGGACTGCAACAGCTGTCCGAGTAAGTAAACGCACATCTTTGTGGTGTTTGTTGTCCTTATATAGTTAGCAAACTGCAGACCTTATTTTACTAATAAATGGAAAACACTATTCTAAAAACAAAATTCTTAAATTTCAGAGTGAACCATAATCCTTTTGTGGGTTTTAGGAAGACAAACTGAACAGCTCTGTTGTCAGATACTCAACTGGAAACCTTAGTACAGTTAATGTTGCATAAAAGCTGTCTTTTCTTGTGTTTATACCAGGTAATTTAAATTCCTGTGCTGTCCTTCCTCTGCTTCTGCTGTAATCCATCACTCTTACTCTCATGTCTCCATAGTCTTATTGCACTGATCCAGACCTGATTTTAGATCTGAAGAATCTTATAGTGCTGTTTGCAGACACACTGCAGGTGAGTGGAGTAGTACCTGGTTATAACATTTTAGTACTTGGGGTGTCATTGGATAGGATTTTTTAAAATTACATATGTTGATTACTCGACATAGATATAAATAATCACATGCTGCAATATTTTCTGAGAAAAGTGAATATCATTTAAAAACAGTATTGTGACCGACAAATAAAGCATTGAATAGACATTATGAAAAGGGTTAATATGGTGTTTGTTTTATTTCCAAATAATTAATCATAATATCAAGTGTAAATGTATAAAAACCATTTCATCCTGTTTTCTGCTGAGAGTTGCATTAATTTGCTGTCTTTTTTCAACTGAGATGGGCATTATCCACCCCCTCTCTTTTCCTCTCTCTCACTGCAGGGTTATGGTTTTCCAGTAAACCAGTTGTTTGATATGTTGCTGGAGATGAGGGATCAATATGGGGAGATCCTGCTGAAAAAGTGGAACCAGTCCTTCAGGTGCTTTCTGCCTTCTCTCTCCCTTTTCTTTCTCTCTGTTTTCTGCATCTCTATCCCTCAGTTTCTCATTTGAGTTAGGAAAATGACAACTTTATCACCTTATGACCCTGGCCTTGAGAAATCCATACTGAAGGAATTACACTAATAGGGTTATGTCCAAATGTAAGGCGCGTTCAACGTAAATCAGATTGCGTTTACTGCAAGTCATTTGTTCTGTTCTTTATTTCAATACTTGGTAACCACACATCCATTTTTTAAATGAAATATCCACTTTTAATGCCCTATATCAAACTACCATTTAAGGACATTGACTCAATCTGATACCTGTAGTGCTCAGAGATTTATATTTGCAGAGGTTGTGTATTGCAGGACAGTTGAAGGACGGAAATTTTGTCAGACCAAACCATCTAAAATCACTGATCAAATTACCCCCATATGACTAAATCATATTGCTTGAAGGACAAATATTTTCTTCTTTTTTGTGCTGGGATACCTTTAAAGAGCATTTAATCCAAAAAATGTCAATTTGTTGTTGAAAAAATGTTAAAGCTCTTTGGAGGGAGATAGTTACGATTTGTTTGGTTGAATCTTAAGAGCAGATGACATGGAAAAGTTGTTGTAACCTTGCTGGAGATGCTTTTCCTTCCCTGTCAGAGACACTTGACTCACTCTATAAAAGAATGATGCTTTGGAGTCTTTGAATGGCCAGAATGTCATTACTGTGGGAACAGGCATTCAAGGAAATGTGTTATGTGTGTTTGCTATGATGAGTTACACAAACACAGACACACGGCTCATGAGTCCAGTAAATGGTGTTTAGATTATTTAGTCTTCTTTATTATCCTGCTCTTGCCCTCAGGTTTATGATCAGTTGATCTGTGAAGTCCTGGTCTTTTCCCTCCTCATACGTATTCTGTTGATTTAGGCAAATCTTGGATCAGGACAACTACAGCCCCATTCCTGTGGCATCCCCTGAAGAGTACCAACGAATAGCAGGCCAATTCCCCTTCCAGGATCCAGAGCTCGACAAGGTGAACATTAGGCACATAAGAAAGCTTTTATCCCACAGATTTTCTTACAGATTCCCTCAGTTACACACCCTCCAGTCTCCACAAAGACACAAATATCCTCCTGCTGTCCAAAAAGTTGATTACTAACATGCGCATCCCCTGAAATACTTGAACTTAACCATACATTTGAATTCTCCCATTGACGTCAACAAGAACTACTGCCCAATACTGTTATAGTAATCAAAGGATGCTACCTTTCTTGGTGATACTTGCAGCTGTTCTTTTTCATGCAATTAGGCTGCCTTTTTGTTTCCTTTATAAAGGAAATCTCCCAGTGTGCTCTATCAACAGCATTTGTTACAGATTGTCAATATTTTTCATTTTGAGCAGAAATTTTGATCACATTTAAAACACTTACAATGGAAGTACACATGGCAAAGCATCTGTTAAAATACACCCCAGAACCAGAAGTGTCCAACTAGACTAGTACCACACCAAAAGAATGATTTAGACAACTTTACAGCTCACACAAGCATTTAATTAATAGTTTTAACAAAAATACAAAACATTCACATTTCTGATTTTAAAGCCTCCAGAATACTTGCCCTGTGCTTTAATGTATTTATTTACTTATTTACGAGTATCATTTTTCTAAACAGATGCCTTTTCCAAAGAAGCTGCCATTTTCTGAATTTGTGTCTAAAGTATACTCACAACTCAAAGAATTCATCTATGCCTGCCTGAAATATTCTGAGGACTTGCACCTTAGGTAAGAGCGTGCAAACACACTTTAAACTGTTTCACACCTGCATATCTAATCCTCCCGTCCAAATGTTCTCATTAGCAAATCATGCTGCCTGAATGCCAGTTTACATACCTATTTTTGAAGGTTTTTTTTAATTTATTTTTTTTACTTACATTCTTTTGTTATGAAATCACTAAACCTGCGGCATTGTCTTTGGCTATCCCCTAGAGTAGCTGTTGAACTTCAGAGAGGAAGTTCCATCGGCACCAAACAGTTTCTGTGTGTTTTCCTAATTAATTGCATGCTTGGTGCTAGTGGGTGTTATTTCAAGGAATTTCTCCCAGTGTTGACTGATCTCTGGTCAGTTTATGAGTTCTTAGAATTACTGATGAGGTTGCCAGATGCGCCGAGCTGTTTAGTGTGGCCTACCCTGAATTCCCAGTCTGCAGACTGTTGGACAGAATAAACGGCTCTGTGAAATGGTGCTTCGGTATGATCTCCCTTTATGATATTTCTCAGAAGAGAAGTCCATTTCACAAATGTAGAAAACAAACAATGTGAAAACAGCACTTTTAGATTTCTCAATGAATTACTAAAGACCTGTTTAGCAACCTGTTATATAAAGTCAGAGAGTGAACTTAATTTAATTAGGCAAGTATGGCTATTCCTATTGCTCATGCTTAGGATGGCCTGCGCATTAACTTTTAAGTGACTTGCTCATCCCAATTGAAATTTAATTTTAAATCTAGACTGTATTTAGAGAGCAGACTTGGAGAATGGACTAGCTATTCAGTTATCAGTTTAAAGCCTGTTCACACTAAGAACAATACATATAACCACTACATTTTAAAAATGACTTTAACTCCAAGAATAGTGGAGTCCACAATTATGACAAAAACAATCAAAATCCATCTGACAGTCCACAATAACACTACCTTTTCTTTTCTTCATGCTTTTTTTTTCAGCAAGGGCATATTTAATTGATCACATGTGACAGTAAAGACTTTTGTTACAAAAGACTTCTATACAAATAAATGATGTTCGTTTGAACTTTCTATTCATGAAAAAAAGAATAATGTGACACTGAAGACTGCTAGAAATTTCACATTTCCTTCACAGAAATAAATTACATTTAAAATGTATTCAAATAGAGAACAGTTATTTTAAATTCAAAAATATAAAAATCAAAAACATAAACTTGCTTGACCCCAAATGTTTGAACTGTAGAGTATGTTTACAGAACATACTGTAACTGTGGTGTGCACTTAGAATAAACATTACATTATCATCTATTGGTATCTGCACTTACATATTTATTGCTATATCCTTTGCATCACTAATTAGACATGCTTAATTTGGACATGTATGGTTATCCAGTACATTTTTCCATAGTGCCCCTTAAAATACAGTAGTTTCAAGGATTTTTTCCCTCAAACTAAGAACCCTACTCACGCAGGATTCAAATTCTGGGTCATCTCTGTTTAGGACCAAACCTTCACCCTTTTGTATTAAAATCTCTAACCATTAATCTCCCAAACACCCCTTAACCCCAGTCACGTTGTGTTGTGATCTGATATCTCACCGCTTCTCCTAATCTCCTAAACGGAACAGTAGGTCATGGGGTTGAGGCTAAAGGTCACTGTCTGTAGAACTATCGTTGGCATTTCTGTCTGCCTCCTTCTGATTGAGCTATGTACTAAGACGAGTCCTCCCGATTGTGATTGTTTGATGTTCTCTGTCTCTGGCCCCATCAGGTCTGGTTACCTTAGAAGCGGATGTCCCGGTTGGGTATGCTAATCCTTGTGTGTATATTTGTGCAGTTTTTGGGTTTGTGTTGCAGTTTAGAAGGTTTACTGAGGAAATGAGGGAACATGATTCAGGACAGAGAACACGTAGAAACCTGCATCCTACCAAATTACTACTCCATTATCATCATCATTAGTGATTAGTGTCTGAGAGACTGTCTAGCCAGCCAGACACTCTTAACAGTGTCGCCTGTAGAGTGGTCAGAAAGATGATGCTCATGATAACGGTAGAAAAGTCTTGAAAAGGTGACTGTATTTCCCAGCTCATTGGCTTAATCTCAAGCACTGATTGCCCTGTCCAAAGACTACCTGTGCAGTACAAGTATTGTTTTTGGAGATACATTCTACAATCACTGCAAGAATTATTTTAAATGAGCAATAATACGTTTTTCCTGTCTGACAGTCTGTGCGTGCTAAATTCTTCTAAACTGTCCAGCTGCTCTGTAGCTGCTCTGGACATTGATGGTAAATTCTTGGTTTATATCAGAGGTGCAAAGTATTGGAGCCTAATCACACCTGCAAGATTATTTAAGGGAAAAATATGATAAAAATTCAACTATTAATAATGAGTATTATTCTCATATTTTTGTTCTATTGATTTGTATTATTCTATTTTAGTATTTTTCGTTACTTAGGACAGCCTAATTTGTTGTGTTGTTATAGCTTGCATCTGAAAGAAGCAGAACATTTCTTTTAATTTTGTGTAACATAACAGAGCTGCACACATCTGCCAAATGTTTGAATGTAATCTAAATCTACGTTTATGTTAAATGGACATGTACAAGTAAAATATTAGGAGTAAGAAGTGAATTGTTTTCATGTCTCCAATCGATAATTATTAAATGTAATAAACCTACATTAGTAATAATGATTTGATGCTGTTGAAGTGTAATGCCGGGTTCAGACTACATTATATTTTGGTCTGTCACGATAGTCACTGTGTCAGATTACACTATTTTGACTCCTAAAATCTTGTCATGTCGTGGACAAGAAACATGTCAGACTACACGTTGCTTCCCGACCATTCATTGCGTGCCGTCTTTAATGACGCGCATGATGTCATCGAGAAGGCGGAACTAGTGACTGACTTCCGAAAACAAGAGTGTAAACTGCTGAAGCGCTTCCGCTATAGTTCGCCAGCATTTTTCTTTGTTTGTTCTTTCATAGTAGTCCCTCGATGACACATCATACAGGTAGGAGTACTGTTGCCACAGCTTCATGAACCTTTCCTCCATCTCATAATTCCACCTAGCAGCACCATCATCTCTCTTTCGTTTTGCCATGTTTGAAACCTGTGTATGAAAGAGCTTCTGTGCTGCTATTGGTCAACGTCACCAATGTGACAGAACTCGTCGTGGATGACGGAAAAAAAATTAAACCTGCTAGTCTTTCTGTCGTGATGTCGTGAAGCATCGCAGACGCGGAATCGGTTGTCGTCCACTATGACACACTACACGTGCTGAAACGATGGAATCTTGCGTCCCGACGCCCATTGTCGTTTACGAATCCCCACGACACCCTACGTCAAGCAAATCGTGGCAAAATCGGGCTAAAATCGTGTAGTCTGAACCGGGCATAACTGAGAAGCATAACCCTAATTAAAATTGGGCCTAAAATGCACTGTATATTTTCATCATTTAGTCGCCAGAGTGAAGATTTAGTCGCATATGCGAGTGATTTACTCGCAATGTAGAGGGTTGGTTTGGTTAAATCTCCCTAATTACTAATTTTGTGTAATTATTTAATCTACAGGCATTCACACTGGTGGTGAGTTCTATTTGCTTGCAGTTTTGGTCAGTCTGATCCTTGATTATAAATGAGACACCCTTAGGTTAGATGGAAAAACATAATCAAAACTAATTTATTGCATGGCTGTCTAGAATACGTGATTATGTCTGATCGATTGTGGCGGTCTGCAGTCAAAGGTTTTTGTATAGTCATCACTAAACATTATCCTCTACGTAGTGGTTAAATCAAAACATTGGCTTTTAAACTCTGTGGGAATAGTACTCAAAAAGAAGCCATTTAATATTTTACATTTGTATTGTGTTTTAAAGGTGTCCATGCCATATATAATACTGTATGTATGTTGGCGGAGGAAGTTGTCTCACTTTTATTGGGACCCCTGCCAAGACTTTGGCTACTCACTGCCTCCTCACATTCACCAGTCATGTCCTTATGTGGTTTTTAGAACGTGGCCGAGCCCCACACTCAAATGTCAGTTAAAATTCAACAATAAACATCTGACCTCTTTTGGCTGCGCTCACAGGAGTCCGTGCCTCGACGTGTGGGGTCCAGGGGCTCCAGATCAAGCTGAAATCCCCCATACACACCAAATACACAAAATAATGTTCTTTTTAGCAGCATCATATGACCCCTTTAAGAATACTATCAAATAATGTCTCGACTCGCTGGATCTTCGTATTTGACAAATTTGTAAAAATGACTCCCTATTAGCACAAGTGTGATTGAGTAAGAGGGCAAGAAGCAGCCAGATGGCATTCAACCAGAGGTCTTGGATGATGGGGTCAGGATTCTGGGTATGTGTGGAAGGGTGTTGAGAAAAAAACCCTGTTGATATTAGAAACGGAAACCTATGACTGACACACCAAAGGAGCAAAGGAACAGCTCTGCATACTACCCAGACTAGGCCACCGGAGGCAATTAGTCTTTGTGGTCTCTCTCCGCTAATATTGAGATGAGATGCGGTCAGAGGGGGAAGGAAGGGGGCTCAAGTCCATGTGCAGGTGCCTGGAGACCAGACGTTAGGAATGTATGTGACCCCACCCCCCCAACCAATGCATGTCCAGCGAACTTTAGACCTCCTTCACGAGAGCCGCTTTACAAATGCGCATTTACCGTATTAACCTGAAGTTACCCTTGAGTTGAAGCTAGCTGTAACGTTACTCTTTGTGATGGTTGAATAGCTAATGAACATACGTTCTGTGCTAACTGATGTGAGCCGTATCTGTCTCGCTTGCTGCTTCTGCTTAGTTTCTCTTTTTCCAATGAAGTTAATTGGACATTTTCAGTCTCCGTTGGTTCCCTGCTCATCTGTTTCTCTCAGATCATTGTTTATCAGACCGATCCCGACCCTAATTTTCACTGAAATAGTGAGAGAGTTAAATGGATGAATAAATCAAATGTAAATGTCAGTAAACCGTCTGTGTTTAATCAGACTACAATTTCTCTTTCTGTTTTGTAGCCCCCTCCCTCTTTAGATGAGGAATAGCCAGAGGCCTTTGGATTCATCCAGACACTGTCAGTTTCCAGATCATCACAAAAAGAACAATGCCTCACTTTAAGTCCTCAATTTAAAGCCAGGCCTTTCTTTTTCACCCTAGTTCTATACCGGGAACATTTCCAAATTGTGATGTACAAAATCAGAGCTATTTTATGGTAATCAACAAGCCAATGACCGTAACCCAACATGCCATTTGCTAAAATTTGAACAAAGCTTAAACGAAACAAACACAGAAAATGTCTCATGGTTACCTAGAGTTTGCAGCAGGACAGTAGTTGCTCATATTTTAATCTGAGTATTGGTCTAAAAGCAATTTCTCATCATCTTGTGATCGAATGGCACCTCCTTTTCTCTCTTTATGTCCTCCATCTCTCTGCTCCATTCGGCTCTCCTCTTGCCAAGTCAGTGGAGGTAGCTCAGAGATTTTCCCCCTGCTGAGGAGAGGAACGTTTTTCAAATTCCTCTTCTGCTTTTCTCAACACAATGAGCGACGATTTAGTAATTTGCGAGGAATGCGTTTGTTGCCCAGATTGAGGGGGAAAACTATTGCACCCTGGGCCTTGGCTCCCATTGACAGACACGCTTGAGACATATTGTCCCTTTCTTTCTTTTGAGTCTCTTTTAATTATTTGTGAACCAATCTGTGGGGGGAAGTAGAGAAAGATGCAGCTGTAGCCGTACTAACGAGCACTAGCCCCCTTTACTCCTCCCCACCCCCGCCGGTCTTCAATAAAACAGAAGAGAAGAGTAAAGAAAAGTGATATCCCCCTTTTTCCCTCATGTTGATTTAAACAGTATATCTGTGTGTGGTTGTTCTCTGGTTTTTGGAACATGCGTTACTGAAATCCAGAGGGTGTTATTGGGCCCTGATGAGTGGTTTTAAATCCCACCCAAAGTCTGTGTCTGTGAGTGTTCATGTGTGTAGGCCTCTCCATCTTATTCACTACATCTTTTTGTTTCCACTTTGTGCCTTTTTTCTCTCAGAGGAGGTGGAGTATTAAGGCTGTGATTAGAGCACATAGGACACTCTGTGAGTCAGAACGATGCTTATGTAAATCTGGACCACAAAAACATCTCGCTAAGGATTCTGTTCTCCATATGTTGGGTCTGAAAGAAAATAATTTGCACCAAGTATTTCTAGAAGTGTTCAATGAGACCAGGAGTCTCTTAGGCTCACCAATGCTTCATTTATTCGATTATTATTATTATTTTTTACAATTATTAATGTTGAAAACTTGTGCTGCTTAGTATTTTTGTATCAACCGTGATACTTTTTTTTTAGGATAGAAGAAAGCCTTTCTATTGTAGAGTGATATGTCATGTTTTGTCTGTGGTGCAGCACTTTGGTCAGCAGTTTACGTTGCTTTAATGGAGCTATATAAATAAATCTGACCTTGATTTTTTTTTAGGATTCTCTAGTTCAGAAGAACAGTGTTTATTTGAAATAAATTTTTTGTAACAAGATCTTTACTGTCACTTTTAATCAATGTAATGCATTTTTGCAAAATAAATGTATTCGTTCATTAAAAAAAAAAAAAAAAAAAAAAAAAAACTGCTGAGCTCAATCTTTTTAACAGTAGTGTATTTAATTTAAGGGCTCTAAGCAACTTAGACATTGAGCATCTTATAAATTTTTCGGGTCAGCTAATACAGATTCCTTCTTATTAAAAAGAGGAAATAATTGAATACATTTCCTGTTGTGTGTGGGGCAGGACACAGCCCCCTGCTGGTACAGTTTGTCCCTCCAATCCTGAATATTGGTGTTATGGATTTACTTTATAGATATAAACATATGTATTTATAACTATTATCCTAATTAGGTGAATTTTCATGTTCAGCTCTACAGAAATTGATGACATGATCCGCAAGTCTACAAACCTCCTGCTCACACGAACCCTTAGCCACTGCCTACAGTATGCCATAAAGAAGAAAAACGTAGGACTGGCAGAGGTGAGGATCTTTTTATTTTCATCCATCTGTTTCTGTGTTTATATTCCCACATCCATGTTGCTCCTCATTGATGTTGTATCAGTCCACTCTCTTCTAGTTTTCTGCACTAGTGGAAACCTGGTCTTGAATAATAAGATTATTTCACTCTCCACATGTCTTGTAGATAGACCACTTTAAAACTCTAGTAGCCTTTCTTTTCTCACCGAGGATGGGAACCATTTTTTTTTTTTAATCAAGTTTTTTTTTTTTTTTAATTACCAGCTATTTTTAATTTAAATCAAATAAAACTCTTAATCTTGACAAATAATGATCAGACACTTCAAAATTTGTTACTTCAAAAAAAATTGCATTGCTGTATCTAAAAAACAGCATTTAAAGGAACACTCCACTATTTTAAAAAATAGGCTCATTTTCCAACTCCCCTAGAGTTAAACAGTTGAGTTTTACCGTTTTCGAATCCATTCAGCCGATCTCCGGGTCTGGAGGTAGCACTTTTAGCTGTAGCTTAGCATAGATCATTGAATCTGATTAGACCGTTAGCATCTCGCTCAAAAATGACCAAAGAGTTTCGATATTTTTCCTATTTAAAACTTGACAATTCTGTAGTTATATCGTGTACTAAGACCGACTGAAAATTAAAAGTTGCGATTTTCTAGGCCGATATGGCTAGGAACTATACTCTCATTCCGGTGTAATACGCACGCAACTTTCCTGCCGTACCATGGGTGCAGCAGGCGCAATGATATTACGCAGCGCCTGAAAATAGTCCCAGCTAGGTAACTTCCAATAAGCCTATTTTCAGGCGCTGCGTAATATCATTGTGCCTGCTGCACCCATGGTTCCACCCATCAGATTCAATGATCTATGCTAAGCTACAGCTAAAAGTGTTACCGCCAGACCCGGAGATCGGCTGAATGGATTCGAAAACGGTAAAACTCAACTGTTTAACTCTAGGGAGTTGGAAAATGAGCCTATTTTCAAAAATAGTGGAGTGTTCCTTTAATGTCAAAGGCCAATCTGAAATGGACTGTCCGCAACAGTGGCAGGCAGGTATGGCAAAATTACCTGCCACTGGCTGGTGGCATGTGTAATTTTTCTCACCCTGCTCTCACTCCATCTCTGCTTTTCTCTGCCTGTGTTTCTCGCTCAAATGTGGTTAGTTTCTTCTCCGCTCTGCAGATTCTGCTTGCAGTCTGGCCTGTTTATAACCCCTCAAATCCAGATATGTTTGGTTCAGTTGGGTGCCGCTGATGAGAAAATGATGAAAGAATAGCAGAGAAAGAAAGAAAGACATTCAGTATTGTATTTAATAAAAGCAAAAGCTTTATTTTTGGTTTCAGGTAGTTTGCACAGCAAAGTCTAGTCTTACTACTACCTACACACACACACACACACACACACACACACACACACCAGATCAGATATCAAGCTCCTTCCTCCCCCTGTCTTGCCCCGGATATGGTGGAGGTGCGGAAGTGTGACCCGGGCTCTGCATTGGGCTTCCCTCCCTGCATGGTGCACCATGACTGGAGAGAGAGAGAGAGAGGGAGGGAAGACCGGGTCCAAGTTAAATGTCTTGGCTCAATTAGCACCAATGTGCCTCAGCGCCTTGCTGCTGACAGCCTTGCCCTGCCTGTGGACCTCAAACTCTACACCACAGAACAGCTAACTGAACGTAGAGTAGCTCCTGGTCTGTTTCCCACAGACAGATTCTCTCTGTCCCTTTAAATGTACCCTTGACTTCCTCTCTATGCCCTTTCCCCTTTGGGGCTTTTGCTGGTTGTTATTACTCATACCTCCAGATTTTTTTCCCGAAAGCACTGCTTTCCTCTGTGATGACCTGTACTACCTATGCAGTTTTACTAAGGTCAGTTAAAAATATGCTGCATTATTATTGAAAGACAAGCTCTATTAGATGTGTACCTGTACCAGTAAAAGATGCTGATCTAGCAACATAACTGTATAAATGAAGTTTAGCAAAGTAATATTCACTACTGCTTAAAAGTTTGTGGTTGGTAATTTTTTATGTAAAGAAGTTTTATTCTCACTAAAGCAGCATTTATTTGAACAAAAATACAGTAAAAACAGTAATATTGTGAAATACTATTACAATTTAAAATAATTGTTTTCTATTTCAATTTCTATTTCTATTGTCAAATTTAATTCATTCCTGTAATGGCAAAGCTGAATTTGCCATTACAGGAATGAAGCCATTACTCAGCAGCCATTACTCCAGTTACTCATGTCTTCAATGTCACAAACCTGCAAAACTTTGCCTTTTCATGCATGTAACTAATTGTGCTTTGTCAGTAAAAACTGATTTGGACAAAAATGGATTAGTCAGAATTTGAAATCACATTTGATTCCCAAAGTTGGTTCAGATCATCATCAACACCACTCACCTGGAGCAGTCCTGTCACTACCTAGAAGAGTTCATCTCCAACATAACCAACGTGCCTCCGGATACCATTAATGCCACCAAACTCTATGGAACCTCCACCTTCAAGGTAGGAGCTAAGATGTCACCCCCCCCCCACACACACACATACACAATCATATACATACACACACACACACACACACACACACATGGATTGTGTGGATTATTATTCAGTATTTTTACAATACATATTGTGCCTGTTTAGGATTCTCTTCTCTTTCTTTCTGTATAGGACGCAAGGCATGCCGCTGAAGAGGAGATCTACACTAACCTGAATCAAAAGATTGACCAGTTTCTGCAGCTGGCTGATTATGATTGGATGGCAGCACAGGGAGGTGGGCAGGCCAGTGACTACCTGAGTGACCTCATCGCTTTCCTCTGTAGCACTTTTGCAGTGTTCACTCACCTGCCCGTGAGTATTTCATCCACACACGCATGAAGATTTTTCTCTTTTTGTTTAAAAGCCATTTTTGCACTCTAATTACGTGATTACTTAAAATAATGACAGCTTTTGGACACAGCCAAGAAAAGATTATGGTCCTGTCCAGCTCCAAATTTCACTTTAGTCTGAATTTTGACTTTCTATTCTTCCTGATATTGCAGCTTTATATTTTGCAAAAACAACTTTTGCTCCTTAAAAATAGAACTGATGTAGGTCTAAAGTATGATCTTGTAGTGGAGACGAAGGCAACCGTCTAGGGTGGCACTCACTTTGCTTCTCTTTTGCTCATTTACATCAGTTTTATACACACTACCGTTCAAAAGTTTGGGATTGGTAAGATTTCCCATGTTTACTAAAGCTGAATTTATTTGATAAAAAAACAGCAATATTGTGAAATGGTATTACAATTTAAAATAACTTTACTATTTTAATGTATTTTAAAATGTAATTTTTCTATGTGATGACAGCTGCATTTTTAACATCATTACTCCAGTCTTCAGTGTCACATGATCCTTCATAAAATCATTCTTATATGCTGATTTTGTGCTCAAGAAACTATTCCGTTAGTATCAGTTAGGGCTGTCAATGGCTCAAAACTAAATTAGAATTTTTTACTTAAATATGATCAATATTCGAATTATATTCTAATTTAAAAGTCATAATTTCAGTTAGGGGGAAAAAAAGCTTTGGCCTCTCTTCTGAGGCCACAAGAGGGCGCATCGAGCAAAATATTATGCACGTTTCTTCAAAGCATAATAAAATAACACGACTATCTTTGAAAAAAGTGCGTAATGTTTAAAATAATATTTATAAAACTTATATAATTAATAAAGTTGCTTAAACAATTAGAAACAAAACAGCATCATGCATGTATGTATTTTTGCGCAGCTCGTCTGTGAACAACGGCTCTGTGTAGTTAATGCTGCTCAATGTGAAAGCACGCAGGTGATGGAGATTTACCGCTGATTACAGAACCGGCTTTCTGACAAGATGCGCGTTAAATATCGCATGCGATTTATCGTGCAGCCCTAGTTTCGGTTTTGACGTAAACAACATCTTCCCCGCACTGATTGTTCTCTTTTTCTGCAATATTTTGAATGAACAACGTAGCAGCTGTTATCCAGTGGGTTCAACTGGATAACAAAAGCATTAAAATGCAATGACACTTACATCGTCGTCGCATTTCGTGCATCACTGATAATGCTGCCTGACGCACACCTAAAAATGTGGATTTTTATTTTAAATTCGACGAATATTCGAAATTCAAAATTATTAAAAACTAATTAAATTCAGTATTAAAAACAGTTGTTGTTTAATATTTTTTGGAAACATTGATACATTTCTTCAGGATTTTTTGATGAATAGGAGTTTCAAAAGAACAGCATTTATCTGAAAGAAATCTTTTGCAACATTGTAAATTTGTGTATTTACTGTCACTTTTGATCCTTTTGATCCTGCATCCTAGCTGAATAAAATATTTTATTTAATTTATTAAAAAAGATCATACTGACTCTAAACTTTTGATTAGTTGTGTATGTCAATAAATTATTAATATTATTATTATTATTATTATTATTATTATCATTAATAATAATAATAACAATAATGCAGGTAATTAATTATTTCATACTAATTTAAAATTATTATTATTATTATTATTTGTAATTTTTATTTGTCATGCTATTTGTCTTTCACCTCGTGGTCCTGGTGCACAGGCTCTGTTGGCCTGGGCCATAATCCATCCTTGCACCCAACATGCTCTGCCTGAGCCTGTGGTCTCCCCTATTTGACACCATCGCTTTAACAGAGATTGTACTCCCAGTACACTTGAACTTTGATGGAAAGCTAAGTATGGTCGTAGCAAGTAAGAGGATTGCAGTGTTCTGGGCTTGCAAGCCCCAGTGTGGCTCAGCTGATATGGAGTTAAAAAGATCTTGTTGCGTGACCTTAGGTTTCAGCTTTGGTTAAGGAAGTTTAGCACGGGCACAGCCCGGCCCTGACCCCTGTCATGAGGGAGTTCTGATAATCAAAGAATTTAAGAGTTTTCCTTCCTACGGGCCTCAACCAAACACCTTCCCGTGTCTGCATGACTGGCTGGAATTGTCTCTGATCCAGGGCTGGTGGCAGTAATGCTGCTTCCTGCGCTCCTGTAATCTCTTAAATCCTGACTGCCCTTTTTTTAAGCTTTCAGTAACAGAGAAGTACGACCCTTTCAGCCCGCTGCAAAACAGTCCTCACATTCTTGGCTGGATTTGACCAACAGGGGGCAATGTTTGTACGACCCCAGGTTGGGCTAAGGTCAGGCTGAATGTCTCACTTTCTCCGTTGACGCATACACACACATACACTCAAAACACCAAACCACACACGTACGGTCAAACGATCGTGTACTCTTCCAGATATGCTGCTTATATCATTGTGTTTGCACATTCCAGCTCTGCATGTGAACATAGTGCATCCTGTTTCAGTCAGCCCCATCCGTGTCCCCAGTTCACACTCCTGATGGTTTTCAGGAAAGGTCAAGAACTGACCGTTTGTGTGTGTGTGAAAGTGGCCCTGCAATAAAGTTCACAGCCAAAAACTCTGGTAATGACTCCAAAGTCACAGTCCCATCAGTCACACTCCCTTGCTTGGCCTCTCCCACCTGACCACAAACCATCTTTGACACTCAGAGGGACTTTCTGTATCGATCGTAAACCGTTTGGCCAAGTTGATATGAGACGGTGCGGTTGACCGACTTCATTTGAACCCAAGGGGATTCATAAATGTGACCTTTTGACCTACATTTTTGTCTCCGTCTATCTTCTGTAGGGCAATGCTATAGAGCACGCCACGCTACCGGTGAGTATGGTTGCAGTGTGGTCTAACTTCAGGCATAACCTTGGCCATTTCTTGTCACAGTACTTCCGCATGCTGCCTGGTGTTCATCTGACCCACTCATAGATTTTTAAATGCATTTTTAATGCTTGTTATGGAACACAAATGAGGTGACAGTAATGCTGCTTTGTCCCTTAGGTTTCTAGAATTTGTTTGTAGATCTTTACTGTAAAATTCAGCTAATGCTCTGAATTTTTGTGTGCCCTGCACCAGTAATATTACTTTGCATAGGCTTATATGCAGAGTAAACAAGCCTCTTAAAATGTGACAATGGATGTTTGCTTAAAACCTTGCACTGACAACATAAAGCATCATGTGATGGTGATTTACTGTGGAAAGTATGTTAAGGCCTGTATTAAACACACAAGGCCCACTCATGTATGCTTAAGAATAGAGAACGACAGGTAACAGTCAGGATTTGAGTTTGTGGCTGTACACTGTGGTTTGAGGGGGAAAAAAATCTCATGAAGTCAACTCCTTTCCTGAAGTTTATTGGAAAAACAGTATTTGTCTTGATGAAACTGAATGATTGGCAGGGAACTTGGGGTTGTGGAGCCTTTTTTGTGCCATAACACGCTGTTTCTACGTGGTGGTCTGTTCATGGACTGACATGCTTCAGCAGACATTTTGTGAGTGTTTTTGCTGTCTGATCCATAAAACATTCTGTGTGCAATCTCAACATGCAGTGTGTTTTTGTTGCATTAACTTGTCATTACTGAGCTGATGCTGGCAAGATGCTCTGAAAATGTGGCAGCTTATATGGGGAGCTTTATATTGTAGTGTCTTACGCAGACACAAAATAGACGTCCTCTGTCTGCTAGCAGAGTGTTTTCAGCTTTGGGTTTCTGATTTAATTTGGAAGTGGATTTTTTCCAAAATCTTGATTGTTATTAAATGTTTGAGGTGGATCACATGAGCTCCCCTGTCTGCTCTCCCATTTGTAGTTGGTGTTTATGTCACACTGTACATTTGCCTGAAGTTGAACTCTGCTCAGCTTCATTGCATCACCAATGGTTGTCATTTCTGGTGTTGCCTAAATCATCAACATTTAATGCCAACAACTTACACTGCCGTTCAAATGTTTGATTTTTTAAAGAAATAAATACTTTTCTGAGCAAGTTAAACGCATTAAAGTGGCCAAAATGAAAAATGTAATTTTACTAAAGATTTTTCTTTCAAATAAATGCTGTTAGGGTTAGGGTTAGGGTTCAAAAGAACTCTATTCATCCAAGAATACTGAAAAAAACACGGTTTCCACAAAAATATTAAGCAGGACAACTGTTTTTAAAATTGATAATTATAATACATGTTTTTTAAAGCAGCAAATCAGATGCAGTTATTTTAAAGGGGTCATATGATGCAATTTAATTTTTTCCTTTCTCTTTGGAGTGTTACAAGCTCTTGGTGCATAAAGAAGATCTGTAAAGTTGCAAAGACTAAAGTCTCAAATCCAAAGAGATATTCTTTATAAAAGTTAAGAGTCAGCCACACCCCCCTAAAACGGCTCATTCGAACACGCCCCCACATATCTACCTCACTATGTGGGAAGATTTGCATAACACCGCCCAAATGTTCACGCAAAGAAAGAAGACGTAACTTTTATTCTCGCTGTAGTATTGATGCCGCCGCCATGTTGTGAAGACGCTGTGTGTTTCGTTGTGA